CTTCCGATCGATTGTAACCCCCAGGTCTTGTTCAGATGCTGTGCCAGTCAGTGGACCACCACCCATTGTGTAGTTATGATGAGGGTTCTTCCTACGCAGATGAAGGACCTTGCACTTCTCCCTGTTAAACTTCATCTGATTCCATTCCACCCATGAATCCAGTCTGTCAAGGTTGTCCTGGATCTTTACCCTATCCTCTGATGTGCCTGTGTTTCCCCATAGCTTGGTATGATCCGTGAACTTGATCATCAACATTTCCACCCCCTTGTCCAAGTCATTAATAAATATTAAAGAGCACAGGTCCAAGCACTGATCCCTGGGGGACACCACTGGAGACAACCCTCCAGGATGAGGCCTTCCCATCGATTACAACTGTCTGGGAGTGGCCCCTAAGCCAGTTGTCCACCCACCTCATTGTAGACTGGTCCAACTCAGTACCCTCCAGTTTGCTTGAGAGAATCTCGTGGGAGAGGGAATCAAAGGCTTTGCTGAAGTCTAAGTAAATGATGTAAACCTTGTGCCTCTCATCCAGATGGCTAGTTACCTGGTCGTAGAAGGACAAGGTTTGTCAGGCATGATCTACCCTCAACAAAACCATGTTGGTTGCTTCTTAACATCCCGTCAGTTACCAGCTTGTAACTGATGGTCACCTTAACACATTTTTCAAAGATTTTACCCAGGACCAAAGTCAGGCTGACCGGTCTGTAGTTTGCAGGGTCATCCCTCTTATGTGCACCACATTGACAAGTTGTGGAACTCGGGAGTGGTCCCAGATGACTGGAAGAGGGCCAAACAACTTGGCCAGGTGGCACTGCTATAAGCTCATCCAGTTCTTTCAGTTCTTTGCAGGTCATCAGGCCCAGCAGACTTGAAAACATCCAAGTGTTGTAGGAGATCCCCCACCTATTCAGGACTGATTACATGTAATCTGTTGTCTTCCCCATGTTCCCTGGGCCTCCAGTCTGATTTAGGAATAGTGACATGGAGTATGTATTTAAGAGTTCTGCCTTTTTGCGGGCATCGTCTGTGGGCTGCCCCCGAGTATTCAGTAGGGGTCCCAAAGTGGATCCTGATTTTTTTCTTGCTCCCTATGTATGTGTAGAAGAACTTTTTGTTGTCTTTTATGCCAGTTGCCAGCTTGCTTTCCATGCCTGCCTCAGCTTTCCATGTTTCATACCTTCAGGCCTTGGCGATACAGGTGTATTCCTCTCTGGTTGACGAGCCATTCTTCCATTGCTTATATGCTTCCTCTTTCTTTTTCAATAGCTCCCAAATATTCCTGTTGAGCCAAGCAGGTCTCTTGGCTCCTTTCCTACTTTTTGTCCGTGTGGGGATGGCCTGTTTTTGAGCCTTGAGAATTGCCTCCTTAAGGAAGCACCATTGTTCCTGGACTCCCAAATCATCCAGTTGCTGGTTGCAGAGGGCCTTTCTAACTAGCCTCTTGAATTTGCCAAAATCTGCCTTCCTGAAGTCCAGGACTTCTGTTCTGCTGACTGGTTTCCCAGTCTTATGATGGATGGTGAACCTTATCAGGTCATGATCGGTGTCACCCAGAGTACCACCAATCCTCAGGTCACCTATGATGTCCCCCAACCCTTGGTCAGCACTATATCCGGAGTGGCCTTACCCCTAGTAGGCCCTTCCACAACCTACATCAGAAACAGATCATCTACTGTTGCCAAGAAGTTGGCTGACCTGCTAGGGGTGGCTGAGCAGTCCTCCCAACACGTCTGGGTAGTTGAAGTCACCCATGACAATCATGTCTCTAGTGCTAGCTGCCTCAATCAGCTCTCCAGAGAATGCCTGATTGCACTCCTTGTCTTGGGAGGGAGGCCTGTAGTAGACTCCCACCATCAGGTCTCCCTCTCCTGATCCCCTTTGTATCTTGATCCAGAGGGTCTCAAGGGATC